TATCATCTTGATCGGGTCACGTCGACGTCGATGTCGACGATTTCGTCTTCGATGAGTTTTGCACTGTCGTATATTTATAAGGAAAAAAAAAATCGTTGTAACGATATTTCGATGATCCAACAAGTGGAAACACTTGGCGGCGAGTTGCAGATCGTACATTCCCGTATTAGTCGTAAATGAAAAGAAAAAAAAAAAAACAAAACAGAATTTTATACATTCGTACGTACATAATTGTATAATGTTATTAATAGGAACAAGAGACGTCGATGTTACGTGTGAGATCTGGGATACGGATCAAAATGCTGTCTGAATAATAATGACATGATTTCTGTCATTGTCGCTGAATTGAAGTTGCCCTGTTTTTGGAACACCCATTCCAGCACACCTTTACATCCTTTCTTAATGATTGTAGGTATTATTGTTACATCTTTTTTACATTGTTTCTCATACAATCTCTGTACGTTAGGCCAATGTGCTCGAATGTATTAGGTGTAAAAATTAATTCGGTGCCTTTGGTATTACGTCTTCATAATTAATATTTTTAATTTGAATATTTTCCCGTGGTTTTGAATATTTGAAAAGTGACAAGACAACATAATAATAATAACGATTATTTCAATAATTGGAATTACTATGACTTTTTAAAAATAAATCTTTAATTAAAATAAAGAAAAGGCACCGAATTAATTTGTACACCTAATATACACATATATCAACGCTAACGTGTAGATGCACTAGATAGAGAAAGTCTGCGTACACTGTTTAAAACAGAATACCTCATTTAAAATTGGACCAAATGACTTGAGATTTTTCGAGAAGCTATACAAATTAATTTACTAAGATATGTGCTTTTTGGTTTTGAAGAATTACAATTTGTCGATATCGGGAAAAAAATAGTAAAAGGCAATTTTTTAACTTTTTTAGCGGAGCCTGTAACGAAAATTTGAAATATGACATTTGTAAATTTAAGTATGTTATTAATTAAAATTTCCGAAAATCGCGACTTTTCATCTGAGAACGTGACTATAGTAATATACTTAAATGTACAAATGTCATATTTTAAATTTTCGTTACAGGCTCAGATAAAAAAGTTAAAAAGTTGCCTTTTACTATTTCTTTCCCAATTTCGCCAAATTTTAATTTTTTTAAACGACAAAAGCACATATTTAATTTAATTAATTTGTATAGCTTCTCAAGAAACCTCAAGTCATTTGGTCCAATTTTAAATCAGGTATTCTGTTTTAAACGGTGTATGCAGACTTTTTCTACCTAGTGTATGTAATTTGTCAACGTTAGTCACCGCTCGCCTTGGTATCGGTTTTCGTTGTCCAAGTCAAAGGGTGTTCGTTCTTTAAGATCAGTTTTTGCCATGATCACTGATTTGTAAACAAATATCAGCAAACATGTGGATGGCAATATTCAGATACGTTGGCCGCTATAGAGGTGGTATTTTTTTTAAATTGCGAAAAAGATTCTGAATTTTTAAACATTATCAAAACGCTAATAAATTTTGATTTTAAACATTATTATGAGCTCGTGTTATAATCGACTAAAGAAGATTGTTCATTGGTTTAGCGGATTTTAATCTTTTTTTTCAAATATAATTTTTGAATTTTCCAAGCCTTTTAATGGATGTCCTTTAGACACTCATAAGACGCTTCATCGATTTCCTTCCGTGTTCTCGTCACGCTCTAAATGACATCCTTCTTGAATTCCGTGTATTTCAAGAGTATCAAGGTTTCACAAATTTAGGAAGACTAAATTTACGTTAGAAATTTGGATGCTTGTGCGCATACATTGCGCACGAATCCGTGGATTTTCGTTTTGTCAGCTGGACGATTTGATGGGCGATTTCTTTATATTACACATTTTTCCTCGAGTTTACTTCATCCTTGTTTGAAAATAATCTTCTTCGGATTTATAACTCTCTTTGGCCATATTCTTTTGTTATGGCAACGTTTGATTAAAAAAATAATAAAATTTGATTTCTCGTGTTAATAGCGTTGAAAATAAAAAATGCTCAACTTTTACTACCCGATTAATCATCTTTAAATATTTTTCTCTACTCAATTTTGTATCCCCTCATGTTTTATGTTTTCTCCAGATGACCAGAGGGTTTGGAAAGAAGATAATCGCAGCTTTTTCTGGAAGAATGATCGTCGTAATAAACCGAATTTCTGTCCCTCCGACGTTTTCAATCTTTCCCGGTGAGTCGACTGCATTCCTATTTCATTTCTTTATAAAATATCCTTTTGCTTTTCTGCCAGACTTTTGTCCATTTAATATAATCGTGTATGGATCTGTGATTTGATTGGTAGACAATTACTTTTGTGCATATGACAATTTCTGAAACGCCCTGTAAACACTATGTTCGACTCTATCCATCGCTTAGGTTACTTCTCTTTCTTGTCGCTCGTTTGAGAAAGGGATTTTAATCGTGAATAGCGACGAAGATCGTTTTTTCCACGGTATTTACACGAGGAAAGGATAAGGGTACGGTTCCGACTGCAAAGTGTCCCTTGAAAACGGAACGGAAATATAGAAGACAGACGGGGTTGAAACTCGAGCACGAATTAACGCTGGTTCTCCAGAATTCAGAGGCTCGTTCTTCTCTGTTTCCTTTTTAAAAGAAACATTCGGCCAACATGAGAGAGAAGCTCGCTTTTTATGCCGTTCACTGCCTTCCGGCGACTTCTCGTCTATATTCTCGTTAACGGACGGCCCCGTTAAACAGTTCCTTTAATTTCGGTGTGCGGAACTTTTCAATTAACGCGCCGCCTAAATCTGCCCCTAATGACTAGCTGGTACTTTTTCTTTTTCCAATTCAATCAAGACTGCGAATGAGACGGTGCTGTGACACCCTTTCGTTTAGTCATTTTTGACGCCGTTTCATGAGTTTCCGTCGAGTAACGCTTTACTTGCCAGAAGCTTATTAAGCAGACCTTTTAAAATTGAATTAATTATAATTACAAGAGACTATTTCCCCGGGTGATGGGCCATTTCTTTTTTTAAATAAAGGAAGCATAAATTATTGTTCAGACGAAGTAACGTACGTATGTACAAGATCGATTAGAACTCCAATGTTTACCCAATCGTCCTTTTAAAATTGAATTAATTATAATTACAAGAGACTATTTCCCCGGATGATGGGTCATTTCTTTTTTTAAATAAAGGAAGCATAAATTATTGTTCGGACGAAGTAACGTACGTATGTATAAGATCGATTAGATCTCCAATGTTTACCCAATCGTCAAAAAATAGAATTCTAAGCTTACTATGGAACCGTTTTCACGCTGATGAACAAAGAATTAAACGGAGGGTTAAAGTGCAGGCGAGAGAGGGCTTGGATAACAGAGAAAGCGCGGACTTGGTTCCACTCGAGCGGACGTTACACCTGACACTAGAGGATATGCACTTGCGTTTTGAGGTTGCACTCTTTCACGTGTTCATTAGCGGCGTAAATTTACCTGGCGGCGAGTCATACACCGGCCCACTCGTTGTCTTGGACCATCCGAAGTGCTTCAGGATGTTCCTTGTTCTCCTCTACACCCTTGCGACACTTAGATTTTCACCAACTTTTCTTCTTTTTTGTTTTTTTCATTTTAAATGATGCATGCCTCTCTTGCTATCTTCCTTGTACACGGTGTTAAAAGAAGAGGAAATTATCATGATTTATATAGCTGATTTTCTACATCATAAAAACCGAGCATATTACAAGAACTGTCTGGCTAATCGTCGCAAATGCGCTACGAATAAATATGCAAATGCATATCCAGGTCAGCTGGTTATCTCATTTAGCCTAGGTACTAGCGAGATTGTTCACGCGTTTTGCGATTCCTATAGGAATATTCAGGCGTGATGGAGTAATAGCGATGTCGCTGGATCAAAGAGAATCGCAGTAGTCGTTTTTAAGCTTTGACTCGACCTAAAATGAGAATAACGGAGCGGAGGAGTAAAACTGTAACGTTGTTTCGTTGAGGAGGTGTACATTCGGTCGATAATAAAAATCTAGGGAGCAAGAGGGTCAAAATGAAGGCGAGAGGGGGATTTACTTTGGGGGAAAGGCGAAGGAAAGATTAGGGGCTGAAAGCGGTAATAATGAGGTGGGAGAAAATAAGGAAAGAAGGGTGTGAAGAGAACAAGAGCAGAGGTTGGAGAGGGCTCGAGAAAGGTTTAGTTAAACAAGAGGAGTTACGATCTGGGTGAAAGCGTTTTTCTTGAAGGAAATAACTTATATGTTATTTATTTATCTTTACACGAACTTTCTCAAAGCGAAAGATAGAAGGATGAAAGTGCAAGATGCAAGTGGACACCGAATAGCACCAAAAGCAACGAAATAATAAAACTACAAGCGGAGAAGGATAACAGATAATTACCAAGAATTTCGTGCATGTTCCGCGATACAGAAGAACGCGAAGAAGCTCTTAAACAATGAAACGTAGGCGTGTTTCAGTTATAATGAAACGAAGCATACTAACGACGAAGAATAAAACCGGCTAAACCAGAATACTCAAGTCCGTTCCGTTCGGAACGCGGAGGGCGGTAAACGCGGAGCAAATGAAAAATCGTCAGCATAATTGGACATCCGTTCGCGCGAACGAGACTTGAGCGCGCGCAGCCCCATAAACCTACATTTAAATTCAATCACGGGGGTGAAGTGCGGCGAAGCGAGCGCGGACGAAACGAGGAGAGGAAAAGCTCGTCCTAGTACCCAGTAGAACACACAGTCAAAGAGAGAGGCTGCGGAACCAAACAAACAAACAAACAAACAAACAGATATCCAAGAGTTCGACGAAAAGAGCGGGGTAAAAGCAGGTGAATCGTATAGTAGGAAGGGGCTGAAAGAGAGAGAGAGAGAGAGAGAGAGAAAGAAGGGTGGGTGATGTGTATAGGTTGAAAAGAAGGAAGAAGAGTCAGAGAGATTCGTCGAAGCGGAGTGGAGCAGAGCAGAGAAGAGCAGAGCGTAGCGGGAGGGTTGAAGTCGAGGGTGGTGGCGTAAAGACCAGAGGGAGGGGATGACGTCATAGTTGAGGGTTGCCCGGGCAACGGGGAAGCGGTTCGTCGTCGCGTCGGGACGCCGTGGTGCGTCGCCACCGACGCCGCGACGTAAAAATCAATTTGGACCTTGGCTAGGTGACCGTTAGCTCGGCGCTGCGTCGCGGTTGCTCCGGCGGCTCGAGGCTCGAAGCTCGAGGCTCGACGAGAGCAGCGCGCTTCCCTTCCGGAGCTACCGGCCACCTCGCCACCGAGCGAGCGAGCAAGCGAGCAAGCGAGCCTGCCAGCGAACGAGTGAGCTAGCTAGCTAAAGACCGACCGATATCGCACCGCGGCCAGCGGCTCAGTCGCGAGTCGCCAACCGAGCGGGTACGCCAGACGGTAGAACGCGTCTTCTCAATCACCGTCTCCCGACAACGCGCACACGATCTACCCCGTTAAACACGCGGACAACTCGCACTCTTTCTACTCCGATTCAGCCGCTTCTTGCTTTGCGGTTCGATGATCCCCGAGGAGGATCATCTTCTCGTCGCACCACGATCGTTTTAGTTCGGTACAGTCGGTACGGGAACATGCTGCACGAGGTACACGCTCGAGATTCAACGAGTGGATAGTTTGTTGTGCGTGGGCGATGAGGAGACGCGATCGGATGCAAGGCGCACCGTGAAAGTTTGAGATTATCGTGGTAAACAGAGAAGCACGAACCGGCTTCCGGGTGATCTTGCTCGGTCATCGGGGTCGTTTTTATCACCCCGAGCGGATACTCGGAAGGCTTTTCAGAGGGGCTGAAGGAGAGAAATGAAGGAGCCGCGAGAAACCGATCGACACGTCGAAACGTCGCAACCCTGACGAAGATCGTCGTCGATCGAGCAGGTAAAGTAGCGGATTCAAACGCGTCCACGGGAGGCTGTGCTGGCGAGCTGTCACGAGGAAGGAGCCACACCGTGACGCATGCGACGTGCCGTCTATCGCGAGAGCTGTGCGTCGTGGAAAACATCTGCGCGACCGGTGAAGCTTTTAACTCGTGCACCTCCCCTCTCTGACGTATTGCGAACGGAACCAGCGTGGTCCTTGCGTGTCCGTGATCCGCGACGAACTCGAGCGAGTAAAAAAAGCTCGCCACCAGAAGTGTCGAGACCGATACAAGTTAACAGGCTGAAGGATTATCGCGGACGATGCTCGAGGATCGTTTGAAAATCGCTGAGGAATCGCTCGAGACCGCGTTGGAGGCAGCGCGCAGAACGTGAATGAGAGAACGTTTCATCGCGGACTGTGACCATCGAGACGCAGCGTTTTCGGAGCTGGTGCAGCCGAAAGTAGAACCGGGGTGCAGTCTGGTTCGCTTCCGGGAAAGATAAACAACGATGACCCGGTAGACAGAGATTAATCGTCGAAGAGACGAGGAGCACAGGTTCCGCCAACTTCTTCTCGGAATCCATCCATCGATCACTCGAGCAAGAATTCCCGTATTAATTAAAACATCGCATCGGGTCTCGTCTGTTACCGTGAAGAAGAAGGGAAGATGTTCACGAGTGATATACCAGGATACGATTCGTTTCGCGGGTGAACGAACGATAAGTGTCTTCTCTTTGGCAGTCATTCTCTTCTCGACGATGTAGCGGGGGCTCGAATGATTCTCGAGGATACTCTGGAGTAGGGGTTGAAACGAGCCTCTTAATAGGATAGGATAGGAGAGGAGAGGAGAGAAGGAAAAACAGGTGGAGGATCTTGGATCTGATAGCGATCTGGACGTGAATGTGTACGCGGAGAGAAGCAAACGAGCACGAGACGCAATCGGTATCGATGATGGTGGAAGGCACGTTGCCAGCAGGCGATTGGCTGCCTTGGTGCTCGTGTTCCTTTGCTACGAGCTGCTGTTCGTAATACCCGCGAGTCAAGTGGCACGTAAACAAAACGACAAACAAAAAGGAATGCCGTGGTACGATGACGGACTTGGTGGTCGTGCTCGATCTTAGGATCGGTGTGTCGTTGTTGCCGACGACATGCTCCTCGTCGTCGTCGTCGACGTCGTCGACGCGTTGCTGGTGGAAACGTAGTCGGTGTACAAGCATCAGCTAATAGAAGATCCGTTCGAATGGCGACAGAACTCGAGTACGATCGGCTACGATAAAAAGGACTTTACTCTCGCTCGCGATTCGTCGAACGGAAGTTCCTCTGCCGAGGGAATCCGTGACTCGAGTCTGAGCTGGATCGCTTACGAGGCATTCGATAGAGGAACTGAACGAGAGGGTGGCTAGCGTGAAACGCACGAAAGTAAACAAAATACAGAGGATATATCGTAATAGGAACGAAAGCAGGGTATAAACAGAGAGTTCTGTTCTTGTCGCGTTCCAAGTCGAACGCGCAGATTTTAGAGACAGAAAAATAAGAGTAAGAAGGTGAAGGCGAAAACGAAGACGAGGGCGAAGGCGAAGGCGAAGGCGAAGGTGAAGACGAAAACGAAAACGAAAACGAAAACGAAAAGGAAGGGAAGGGTGGTGTTGAAAAAAATATTCCACCGTCGAGCATGGCCTCGGTGGCAGCGTGGCTGCCGTTCGCCCGTGCGGCGGCGATCGGTTGGGTACCGATCGCCACACATCCACTGCCACCTCCACCGATACCGAAGGATCGTCGCAAAGCCGACGACGAGAAGCTGCTGATCAACGTGAGCGGCCGTCGGTTCGAGACTTGGCGGAACACCCTCGAGAAGTATCCGGACACTCTTCTCGGTTCGAACGAGCGCGAGTTCTTTTACGACGAGGAGAGCAAGGAGTACTTCTTCGACCGTGATCCAGACATCTTTCGTCACATATTGAACTACTATAGAACCGGTAAGCTTCATTATCCGAAGCACGAATGCCTGACGAGCTACGACGAGGAATTGGCGTTCTTCGGCATACTACCGGACGTGATCGGTGATTGTTGCTACGAGGATTATCGCGATCGTAAACGCGAGAACGCCGAACGGCTGATGGACGACAAGCTTAGCGAAAACGGGGATCAAAATCTTCAACAGCTGCTTGATATCAGGCAAAAGATGTGGAGGGCATTCCAAAATCCTCACATCTCGACAGCGGCGTTGGTATTCTATTATGTGACCGGTTTCTTCATCGCCGTTAGCGTGCTGGCGAACGTGGTCGAGACCGTGCCGTGCGGTAATCGTCCGGGACGCGCCGGTACGCTTTCATGCGGCGAACGTTACAAGATCGTCTTCTTCTGCTTGGACACCGCCTGCGTGATGATATTCACCGCTGAATATCTGTTGAGGCTGTTCGCGGCGCCTAGCCGGTGCAAATTCGCTCGGTCCGTAATGTCGATCATCGACGTGGTCGCAATATTACCGTATTACATCGGTCTCGGTATCACCGACAACGACGACGTATCCGGTGCATTCGTTACGTTGCGCGTCTTCCGTGTGTTCCGGATCTTCAAGTTCTCCAGACACTCGCAGGGACTCAGGATTCTTGGTTACACCTTGAAATCATGCGCCTCGGAGCTCGGGTTTCTCGTATTCTCACTGGCAATGGCCATCATCATATTCGCAACCGTCATGTTCTACGCGGAGAAGAACGTCGACGGAACGAACTTCACCTCGATCCCTGCCGCTTTCTGGTACACCATCGTTACGATGACGACTTTGGGGTGAGTTTTTCTTGTTCGTTTACATTTTAACCTTCGTTCTGACAAACACTGCTGACGAATAACGAATTTCGCTTAATAAATGTATCGGTATAAATGTGAAATTACGAGATCGAAGAACACCGTGTCGTCTAGTTGTTGAAAAGCGCAACGTTTCTTTCACGATCGTTAAACCCGAGTTCGAGAATTGATGGTTTCTATTGAAAGGATTCCTGGCAGGATATCTCAGGTAGATAGACGCCGAATAGAGCAGGAAGAGCTGCATCTGCGAAAGTAATTGGCTCCGTGTAAACCGCCTGAAGACTGAAACAAGCAGCACAGTCTCCAGTGATATTTTTAAAACAGAGGTCGTTGGCGACCTTTTTACCTCGAAGGTTGCCTGGCTCGTTGCTTTCTCTAAATATCCGCGCACAGAAGCACCGACCCCGAAACTGACAATTTTTCTCTTTTTTTCTCCCCTTGTAATTCTCATTCTTCCTTCTTCGCCGTTTTATCGTATACTCACCCCTTTTTCCATTTTATATATTTTTTTATTCTTTCCTTTATATTTTCTTCATCGTCGCGAATTAAAGCGACCGATTCCTCTGGCCGCTTTGCAAACACACCGCGAAGAGACTCTGTTTGCTTTTAATTTCTCAAAAACGCTGCTTTCTTCGCGAACGGAATTCGTTTCTTCCCTTGGATTTAACTCGTTCGTGTTTCACGAACTTACTCAAGGAACTTTTTAGCTTTCACCCGTCTCCCTATTGTTCTTCGGGTACGACAGTTTTAATTGGAATGTTCGATAAGGATTATACGGACTCATTCATAACATCTGAGACCTACTTTGACCTTAGGTGGACCGTGTTTTTTCTATTTTACTAATGCAACAAGCAGAGGAGAAAGTACGAATATGAGATAGGGTACGCAGTATTGATATTTTTAATAATAATTGTATATCAAGTATTATAACGAATAAGATACTCTTTTATAACAACCATTTTGAATAGGTATCATTGTTTTGTTTAACAAACGTTTTAACTTTTGGCTGTGATAGAAAGTTTCTACGCGATGTACATTGGTTTATTGAGCGAGTTTTAAAAATGTAAAACAAATAAGTTATACTATAATGATCATAGTATTAGTATATCAAAGAATAATTTAAGAATTCATATTTTGATTATGGTAAATAATAATAGACAGAGAAATGACAAATTGGTAGAAATATGAGATGCTTGATTCGAAGCAATATGAGACCACACTTTTAAATTTATTTCTAAATAATACAAGCTGAAGTGAACTAGAGCGAGATTCGCTCTAGAGCCAACCCTTTTTCGGCCATTTCCGGTCAGACTGGAAGTGGCAAAAACAAAATTTGTTTCGACCATTCGTTGAGATTTGGACTCACTAATTTATAACTCTAACCGTTTGGCCTGTACAAAAGTGACAGAAAGTCTAAATGCTATAGCCCCCCTCTCAAGATTTTCAATCTTAAATATTCATAATTTACGATAAAAGATTTTCTGAATTGTAGATTTAATGTCTATCATGCTACTTATGGGCAAAATGAAATAAACGTTTCGTTTAATTGTGGTTGTCTCATTATATTTGACTTTCTATTATGTATATTTATTATTATTAACGTTCTATCTTAGTTTTATAACATTATTTATCTCATATTACTATCCGAATTTCTATTAGCCCAAATTTGCCATCAGTCAGAAAAAGTGAAAAAAAAGAGAAATTTTTTATATATATTTATATAAATAAATAACTATAATATAACTATAATATATAATATAATATATAACTATAATAACTATAATATTTATATTTATAAAGCTCATTCCGCGTGAATTCCCCCAAATTCCTTTGTTTGATTTTTCTACTTATGACTATTCTGAGACTCTCTACATCCAAAAATAAAATGGATATCCCATATTCGTACCCTCTCTGAATTAAAACCACAATCATCTGTCGTTTTCTGATTAGAATAACAAAACGCAATTAAAGGAACGCTGAAATATTTTCAAAGTTTCAAACTCCTTGAATCTAATACTCAACGTTCTGACAGAAGACCTTTCCTAAAGTTTACTCCTCTCTTAATTTTGCACGCTCGCCGAACGGTCATTCAGCGAGGGGCGATGAAAAAATTACGGGGCTCTCTTTCGTCTGGCACAGAAAAGATCCATAAAACAGCATGGAAATATTAATGCTCCCGTAGGAGCAAACTCGATGCGAATTCAGCAATACGCGTAAATTTTGTGGACGTGTGTAAACGTGCGCTTTTTTCTTTTGAAAATACGACTATGGTAGCCGCGTTTCTCTTTGCTTAATTCAAACCACCACCATAAAGGAAAGTATTGGAAATCATAGAGCGGAAAAAAAAGTAATGGAAAAATTTATTCGCCCCCGCTTTCGACCACGGAAGAAGTCGTGCGTCTCTTCTCTATTTCTGCCCTGTGAAATGTATGTCAATGATATTTTCGTTTCGTTTTTGCGCAGACAGCTGACAATCAACATAATCTTATTGTTAGTCACGCACAGGGTGGTCGTGTTCGTTTGCTTGTCACTTAGCGTTAGTAGTCGAATCCGATCAGGTAATATCTTAATCGATTTCTCTCCTTCAATTAGAAATTTCGGCCTAGATAAAAGTTAACACGTTGAACGCCATGGGGGTCACCGGTGACCTGCCCCCTAACTTACACGAGCCTGAATAATTAAAAGAAAACAATAGAAAACCATTTAGAAAAACAATAGAAAATTATTTAAATAATATTCCTATGGTATAAATAATGCGAAATGGCAAATAGAAAGCTTGAAATTTGAAATTTGAAAATTAATTATTACTATTCTTAATAATTAGAGCTTTAATACGTACCACAAAAAAATGTCCAATTTCACTGTGACATTCAATGTGATAAGTGATTAATTTTTGAGGTTGATAAGTACAAAAAATTAGGAATTAGAAGCTTACGTGTTAAATGAGAACAATTAAATATTAGAATATTCTCCTGACTTCTAATTAGGCTGAGTAATTAACGAAACTATAATGGTGAAGAAAATGTATTACTCCACCATTAGAGTGTTATCATTCGTGAGATCATTAGCTACCTGTTAGATTTGGGGATCATAGGGTTCTGTAGATACTAAGGTTCTCTTAATTACCTAATTACACATGGTAGAACACACTCAGATACCTAAATACATTGTATACATTATTGATTTCTTTGTCCATGTTTTATTATTTTTATTGTAAAATCATAATAATTAATTTTATTATACCTATATGTTTTGATAAAAACTTTCAGAAGCTCTAACGTTTCATTTGCAGCAGCAGTAATAATTACATTTTGTACAACAGTAAGCAAAGCAAAGTTTCTCTTTGAAAATTAATTTAATTTTCAATGGTACTTTTACAATTCTGTTATTGTGAATTCTACAGACGATAAATGAAATGAAAATTCCTGATCCTCGGATCAGGAAAAGTTTGAACATGGAAAAGTGACAATGATTCGTTGATTAACCAACTTGCCAACGATTTCGATGAACATGGATCAGAGAATGTATAAGGTTCATTAAAGGATAATGACGCTCCATTATCGAGCAACTCGGTTTCCCGAATGTCCGGATAAACTCGTTTCGTCGATAGAATTATAATAGCTGACATTTGCACGTTTTCGTTGTTAATTGTTTCGATACAGATTATCTCTTTTACTCTCGCGGTTATTTGTATTTTCACATTCACGCGAACGCGAACGCGCGCAGCCTTTGATAATTTTAATCGTGCTCCGTTAAATTGTTTGGACTGTCCAAATATAACACCTATGTCGACGCGAATTTATCAGAACTCAGGTGTGAACCAGCTGCCACGTCGTTTATCGGCTCTCAACGTATTTCTGATATTTTAGAGACTCGTGCTTTGCCAGCCGTTTCTATTTCTTACCTATCTTGTACGATCCATTACCAAGTTGTAGCAATTGTTTATACTTCGATAAGTTTGGAATAAAAAGGCTTTCGAATACTTTAGTATGTACTCCCTCTGTTCCATAATAATAGTAGCAGTTGATGAATTTAATTTGTCCCATAATAATAGTAACAGTTGATGAATTTAATTTGTCCCATAATAATAGTAGCAAAAGAAAATAAATATAGAACGCAACATTTATTATCAAAAAACTAGATTAAATTAAGCAATAAATTAAAAATATTATTCAGATAGTTTCTGGATTTTTCGATAATTTCGTTACTGCATATTAAACTTGTAGGTAGGATCCCTTGGCTGCGAAGCTTTGCTTTCCCTATCTTTTGATGCATCAAGAACTGGATTAAAACAACTTTATTCAACTGAAATAAAACAATTGATTTCGATCAGCGGATGAAATTAGAAGAATAGTTATAATTCGTAATAATTATGTTAATTTAAAAATTGAAAGATGTCAAAACAAATGACAGACGTCATGAAACATTGATTTTGATTGAAGGCTTCGCAGTTTTGCGCTAGAACATAACATACAGCTGTATTCGCCAATAATTCCCGTTTAAATATTCACTTGTTACTGTTATTATGGGACAGGGGGAGGACTTTACAATGCTTTAAAATAGGAATACGTAACGCTTGGCGATATTAAAATGGATTTCTCTACCTTGAACTTGATTTGAATTTTCATTAAACACTGTACGAATATTAATCTGATTCCCATCGAGCATATATAGTCACCATGAATTATACAATTTCAGATTTGAATGGAAGTAATGAAATTTATTTGACTTTACAATGAACATTGTATGAATATTAATCTGATTTTCATCGACCCGTTACAATTCTGTCACCATCGGTTATACAATCTGAAATTTGTCAGATATATATTTCATATATTTCTACCTTGAATTTGTATTTGTATTTGAACGACACAGATTCTTAAGATTAATCCAAGCCCCGAATACGGTGCCTCGTTGTTTCGAAACGATCGTGAAAAGTTTGCTTTCGAAAGCTACATCCTCGTTTGTTACGCTCGTGGTAC